ACTTGAGTCATGGTTCCCGGGTCCTCAGTCCATAAAAAAGTGCAACGATCTACCCTATGCATATTTCATGCTGAGGCTCAAGTTGGCCAAGGCAAGTCGTTACTTGGTGAACGTACATGCCCCCACGTCAGCTTACGCCAACACCGCGGAACCAGATGGCCGAGTAATTATCACGTCCAATTCCACCACGTGTGATGCAAGTTCAGCAGGTCACGGCCCGCAGGCCGGTCAGCAAGCAATCCACACACAAGAGGGCAATTATCGTTAAATGTCGTTATTTGTCATAAGTGTGCAGTAATGACTACATCGTATAAATACTGTAACGTCCTGTCCATGTCTTACCCACTTCTGCTACTATTTTCTGCTGCCATTTCTCATGAAGAATCTGCGACCGATGTCGAAACGTGAGGCGAAAAAAGTGTTGTCCCAGCGATCGCATATTCTTCTTCTTCTTCTTCTTCTTCTTCTTCTCAATTACATCCCGGGGGCCCGCATGTTCTCTTGTATTGGAAAGGGATTTGGGACACTGGGATGGCCAGTTCCCGCAATATTTGTTGTCATTAGATACTGCTGCCCTAGAGTCCCAAAGCAGAATGGAACGAGAGCGTTTAAGGCGAAACCTACATTGTTATCCAGTGAAAGTAGGACTGGTATCGATTACTGCCATGAGGTTGATGTCGAAGCATTTATAAACAGCACATTTTACTTCTGCGGGTAGAGGATATCGGCATACGTTCCAACCTATGAGACCTGAAATATTGGTCGAAGGGGAGATAAGGGCGGCAGGAAGTGGGTCTACTAAAACGCCACTGAGACTGAGAAATAAACACTGTAATGAGGGAACGCCAGACACGAAATTAAGTTGAAGTTAAAATTGTCGAATAGCAATGAATCGGATATTATTCTCTAACAACCCTATAGATGCAAAGAACGCAAGGGTAAGTCGCCCTCTTAGACCACTTCAGTGCGCATTTACTCCTTCACTTGCCCCTTGGAGCAGGGGCACGAGCCGGCACCTATTCGAAGAAAATACGATAACATCTTCCGACCGGCCTGGCGAAATTAGGAGCATAAGCAGCATCCTTCTTGTCCTTCTCGCATAAGCTCCAACGAAGCTTTTCGTATGATTTTTAAAGTTCTCTCGAACTATCCTAAGTAACTGGATTAGCATCTGTTAGCAACAGCAGAAGCGGCCGCCATCAGGCGATGAAAGCCGGTCTGGTGCGCAGAGAAGAATTTTGTACCGTGGTCAAAGATCAACTACCAGCGTGCTAATCTCTGCACCCTTCAGCTCCCTCTCTCCCTTACCCCATGACACTGACTTTTCATAATCCTCACTGCCTCTTATTACCCCAGCCCGTCCCTATTCCCGCAACTCTGTTTTACTATGAACTGTAATCGATTTCTCTAATCCATGGCTTTTTTCACTCGACCACCATTCTTTTTTAATGTATTGGCATGGCGAAAGTGTATTGAAAGCAAGCATACATTCGCCAACTAGTTTTTTGAGGCCGTCCAATTTGCGAGGATAAGAATGGGACACCTGTTTCTGTAATGGTCCTTCCAACACTCAATACTTCCCGATTGCGTCGAGATATGCAGCGGAGTATTCGAGTTCTCTTCCTTCTGGACAGGCAGTCCCAGAGAGGCAGTTTAGTAGTTAGAAGTTCCAATGAACGACTGTTTGATGTTTTGGCCCATTTAGGAGTCCGCTTGGCTCCAAAGGAGGATTAAGATGGAGAGTGGGTTTACAAAAACACAACTTAACAGTCATATTCTAGGGCTGTGTTTAAAAAATCCTTCTGAAAAAAAACTTGCGGAAGAGGTGGTCTTTCGTGATGGTGGACAAACCAGATTCTCTAGGCTACTTTGATGGTTAGTGCACTGCTGATTATTTGAGCGTTGTTTAATCCACAGCTTGAGCCATATCAATAGACTGAACAGAACTTATGAAGTCAGCTTTTATCCATAACATCAAAGTAGCTTTCCTATTTAGGTTCTGCGAATATTTCCATTTTAAACTTGAAGTCAGTAGACACGTGTTTTCGGTAAGCAATCATCGAACCTATGCAGTTACACAGGATCCTACCTCCTAGGCTTGGGAAGTAAAGGCCACATTTACTAATTTATTTGCTCCTGTATAACGAGCTAAACTGGGCGTACAACGAGGCGCTAGGGAAAGAGGGCACGTAAACACATACCGGTTCGACTAGTTAGATAGGAAAGCAAATCGATTCCTATTTTTATTCTCACACATCAAATCGAGACTAATCGCCGAGTCGATCCTAAAGAGATCTTTCAGCACTGGGGTGTTACAAGGTCCTAGTACAAGTACTCTGTCCTTCATGGCCGAAAAACACTGCAGATAGTGATCCTTGGTCACCCCAAACCCCTCCCCCATTGATGACAATAGTTCACTCCGCGTACCCGACAGTGATGTTCACTCACCGTACTCGACTCATAAACATCGCTCACATCTTACATCCTTCCCTCCCCCTCAGTTCCAATGACCAAAACACCCCGACCTCGCCTGCCCATCCCTAATATTTTCATTATTTACGTAACTTTACGATTATGAATTACCGAAAACAAGTGCTGGTGGACTTCACATTTCCAGTTTTCCTTTAATAAAAAAAACTATGCTAAGACGCATTTACTGCAACCCATATACAACTGTATGCCTTCTGTCATCCATTATATTTAATTTTACGAAAATGAAGTCAAAGGCGCATGTTCAACATGGTTTTCCACTTGGGCATTCACCGAAACTAACCAAGCGATTAAATATCTCTTTCCAAGTCGGCAAAAGTAAGAGTTCCGGGATATAAATGTGAGAACGTTCCAGTGAGGACTATTATGTTCCCAAATATCTCCTTTAGTTTACACAGCTAGGTAGAGGATAAAAGGTAATTTTCTCGAGGAAAAGTAATAAAGTGGGAAAACCACACGGCCACTGTCAGCTTTACAGGGCATAAATGCGAACGATATCCTGTGCTTGTGTTTAGCTTCTTTTCGTTACCTTCGCACTGAACTTCCATCTTATCAGCTATTTCTTAGAACTCGTATTTTCGCTTGCATCATTAGAACATTGCAACAAAGAACGGCTTGACGATTTAGTCAAAAATCTCTACACTACTCAAAAATTAAAAAAATATTATATAGATGTGCGGACGCCTGACAAAGAGTTGCTGTTAGCAGTTGATGAGTTTAGCGTTTAGTACTGAAAGTTTAAAGAAGTCTGTCTTATTTGACAGCTAAAAAATTGGCCTCTAAAGCTCTTGCAAAGGGGCTGGTTAGCAGAGGTAAAATGAAACGCGCACATAGGCCACGCGCATTGGCCACGCGCATACACCACGTGTACAGGCCACACGCATAGGCCGCGCGCTTTGCGCATAACGTTGATTTATAAAACTAAGCCCGCGCACCGAGCCTCCATAGCTCAGTGGTTAGAGCACTGGTCTCGTAAACCAGGGGTCGAGAGTTCGATTCTCTCTGGGGGCACGGTTTTTGCCAAGTTCCTCACAAGATGAGCCGCTCACAGCTTAAGAGTCATTCAGAAACTGAGCATCTCTAGTATGAAGTATGAGCAGGCTTGAAGTACGTTCTCGTACGCTATTTAATAAATTTACAG